AAAAACCTCATCCAACTACTGATTTATTATGTAACTCACTCCATCCATTCTTCTTTGAGAGCACACAGGTATTGATCAAGTACGCTGTCAGAAAAGTGCTTGTTTAGTAAAGCTTCTTCGATTTTCTTGAGAATCTGAGGACCTGGAAAAAAACGAATAATCAGGGCGACAACCAATTAGACAGCCTTGAACATACATGCCACTATACAACTTTGTCGCAGATAAATATACAAATTACTATTTTTAGGAATTTTTCTAAAATCAGGACAGGTATTTATGGCGAACAATAATGGACACAAATGCGCATAATGCTTTCTGACTCAGCAAAATGTTGGTCTGAATTACGAAAATAAGTCAATATGCGTGATTTATAAGAAAAAAATGTTCGTAGCATGATCAATTTTGTATGAAGTTAGCTAATTCGTTTCAATCTGTTATAAACAACACAAAATTTTATAGTTCCTAAACATTATGATGGATGTTACACTTCATTGTGATATACGACAACAATTTTAGACTGGCTCTATAGCTGGCGAGAATATGAAAATTGACACTCTTTTCGTCGTTGCCTTTGTTTGTCTTTAGCTAGCTTAGTATCTATTTTCGTGTTGTTCTGTCATATTGGCATACTCTCATACCCGTACGCGCGTGTTAACTACAATCCTGCACAAAACATCTGCGACACTTCCAATTGACCATTTGCGTAATAGACTAAATTTTGAACTAAACAAGTCTAGACAAAAATTTCATCACAGCTTGAAGGAGCATCACAAAATTAGTAATATTCCAAAGTTTCGTTGCAAAATGTTGTAAAATGCGGAAAATATAGCCTTGCGAAATTTGCAATTTTCAGTCATTTTAGATTACAAACGGGAAATTGACAGCCCCAAAACCTTCGAGGCTGTCAATTTCCGGTTTGTAATCTAAAATGACTGAAAATTGCAAATTTCGCAAGGCTATATTTTCCGCATTTTACAACATTTTGCAACGAAACTTTGGAATATTACTAATTTTGTGATGCTCTTTCAAGCTATAATGAAATTTTTGTTGAGATCAAAATTTAGTCTATTACGCAAATGGTCAATTATTTGACAAAATTTCGTAACATTATCTCAAATTTAGAAAACCTCCCCTACGCCCCATTCAATGTTGATTGCATTCGGAGGATACGGTTAAAACGTCCAACATTGTTTTGGGGGGTGAAGGGGGGCAAACGAGTAAATTATTCCGGTCTAACTGGTAAAAAAAGCCACAAACGAATGTTTTAATAGAGTATCGCAGATGGTTTTGTCCAGGATTGTAGGTCATCTGGGATCTACCATTTTGTCATGAAATAAGGCGATTGATATTTTTGTATACAACAACACATTTCGTTGAATTTTGTATGCAGAAAACTTTAGACATGAAAAACAACTTTAGACGTTCAATTCAACACCCACCGTGAACAAGTTCTTTTCCACGTATTTCAAAACTGTAGTGCTTGAACGGATTATTGCTATGCAAAATAAAGAAATATATTTGTATTGATGATAGTTTCTCTATACATGCACCTTGTTTTGTGTTGGTGAAAACCCTAACGATTATCATGTTTGGCAAGATTAACATGGTCAAGTAAACGTAGATTCGTTCCCCAACCCCAACCCCTCTCCCAGCCACCCCCCCCCACCTCATTACAAACTATATAATGTAGTACCTTGTTTGTTCGGAGGAATTGAATTGTTCCTGTAGGGGAAAAATGTAAAAAAAACTTAATGCATGCAAATAGAAATGAGAATACTTTATGAATTGCATGAACAGCAAATTAAAAATGATTTCTTTGTTTTAATATAGTTGACGAGCACGAAAAATAACGAAATAAGATACGTCGTCGATATTCCTTGAACTATATGTAGGTGCTGAAGAGCAATTTTGTTCCGAAGGCGTTCACACTTTGGCGTTTTTTCCAAAGTGAAAAAGTGTTCACTAAGTTTAAATCTATATGTTGAGTGTCTTTGTATAATTCAACTCTCCCTTGTCTTTTTGCAGGGATTTTAGAATCTTTTAAAATTCAGAATCATTTCAGAATTTTTGAAAGTCTTACAAACGTAGTCGTCTGTTTTGCCCACGTTTTACTTGATTGATTTTTAGCGCAAAAAAACAACAGCTTAATGTAGTACAGGGCCCAGGGCCGTAGCTAGACCAATAATTGGGCGGGGGGGGGGCATATTCATATATTCGTGTTCTACCCGACGGATTTCGTTTGAAAGCGATTGTTTTTACGGTATGTGAACATGAATATATGAATATACCCCCCCCCCCCCCAATTATCGCGTCTAACTACGGCCCTGCCCATGGAAGAACTAGTTCAGTTCTTTTTGAAAAGAAATGTTTGTTAAGAAAACCTAAAACAACCATGCTTTTTTCGAGTGTAAATTTTATACACTTACTAGACCTATCATCTGAAATTCACTTTACAGTAGTTTTCCTTGTCGTTCGTTACAGTATGTTTTAAAGAAAGCAACCGGTGATTAACTTCATGCCACCCCGCCCACCCGCATGCAAGAGCTCTGGCGGTCGCCGGCTATTTTTGAAAGCCCTGTTTCGAAAACGCAGTCAATGAATTTAGCGTGCAAAATTACAAATCATCGCGCTAACCAAGTAAGCAAACTATTTACTACAGTTGATGTACCTTAATATCCATTAATGTATACAAGTGTGATTCCAAAATATGCGTTGGAATTTCGGTGTCAGTTTTTAGACCAAGAAAGTTGCATGTCCACGATTCCTAAATAAGTACATAAACACGATCTTCATGCACGAAATACTACTTTGCTATATGCATTTATCTGTATAGGGAGGGCTCTATATATACTGTATGTTACTAATAAGAACCCTGGTACAAAGATCCTGACAGAATTCCTTGCAGGATCGTATACAGGTAGGACTTTGCAAGGATTAATGAGAATCGAATCAACAAAACAGCCAAGCATCACATTGATACTTGGATAACTTTCTTTCCCGATTGAAAAAATTACCAGGAGATGGTATTGTCGATGCGATCAAATGACAAACGCGATTTGTTTTTTTATTTCTCTCCCATCAAATGTGCGGCTGTAAACATGTATATAGGAAACCTCCTGGTGTCTGTAAATTGACCCGCATGCAGTTAGGCATTTATAGTTAAGTCGTGCACTTTTTCAAATAAACTGGTCCCCACGTTCTCCAACACTACCCTAACCCACAAATGTCGAAGAAATTTAAGAATGAAACGTGACGAAGCGGGCTCGAACCTCGACCAGACGCAGCTAGCTGCACACTTTAACCTCTGAGCTATTGGCAAGCATACTGCACAAAATCCTTTCGCAAAAATGCTTAAGATTACTGATAAGAATGACACAAGATAGCTTCCACAGCCGCCAGTTGTTACATCTTGCACTACCATTCGTCGTCGACTAAAAAACTTTAACACATACCTCCTTCTTGGAAGCGAAATTAAAGTGCAATTAATGATCTTTATTTCATTGCGATAGCTTTTATAACTTTTACGTTACATGAAATTGAACAGTGTTCAGTTTTGGGGGGGGGGGGGACACCCGGTATATTTCGGTAGCTGTATCTATCTCAAACCGCGGCTGTCCTCTTATAATCGATTTCAATCGATTGTATCGATTGTTGACGATTAATAGATTACGATAATGAAGCGATGGGAGCACTGGCTCTAACAAAAATCCTACCTTATAATAATAAAACAGCGAGAGTAGTATACCTTATACACATCACTGTACGGCACACATTTAAAGCATCTGCTCGGAATGAGAATCTGCAGGATAAGATGTATAATTAATTAAGTAAATACAGTTATAAATTTGATAAAAAAAGTCTAAGAAAAACAGGTAGTATAATTTTTTTTGACGATGTCACTGTCACCTACAATATACAACCTATATAATGAAGCTTCCACAGGAAAATAATTAATAAAATAATTAATGAGGAATGCGATACTTGAGTAGCGACATATGAATATTCCTCATTAATTATTTTCCTTTTGTCTTATGTTTTATTACACATGCCTATTCGATTTACAATGAAAGGTGATAGCTTTTCGAGCGCGCACACATGGAGGAAATGTTCATTCGTGACAAGAAATATTCAACACATTGGATATTTGTCTCACGAGTGACAAAAAATTTACAAAAGTGCAACGCACACGAGAGCTTTCTCATTGCACCGCCAACAGTCACGAATAATATTTTGCTAAGCACATAGCTCTATAGTGTGCGCCGGGCTTTACTAAGACGAAGGACGGCGCACAAATACCTTTAAGGTTTCAAATATAGATAGCACCAGTCCCTCTGGCTGTCCTCGAACGATGAGTTGGTTTCCTTGCACGACGTTAAACGCGAGAAGATGAAATTTGGCAAAACCTAGTACCTAAAGATAGAGTAGGGAAATTAATATAATGATAAATAACCAGACACGTTTGAGGTTATGGTGGAACAGTGGTCATAATCAGTGGTGCAGAACTGAAATGATACAAGGGTAGGCGGGGTGACAAGACGAGAAGGTGACAAAGCGTGGTGAGTGCAACCACTAGATCAGTGGGTGCATGCAACATGATAAACATGGAAAGTTCCAGTGTGTTTATTTTTGGTTCTAGAAATTCTTTAATTAGTGTTTTTCTAAGAAAGGACTTAACTTCAAATAAAAGACTCCGATACACTGAAGTTATTTCATGTTCGAGCCACATATATACATGATCTAATGTAATTATCATAATCAAGAACGAATTGCTAACAGATATCACTTCCGCATATATTATTTCAACCCTACAGTTGCAAAGAACGTTCCAGGTTATGAATATGCAATCTGCAAAAATATTGGGAGGTCAGCCCCCCCCCCCTCAAAAAAAAACTGGCATAAATTGTTTAACAAGGCGGACAATTTCCTAATATCGCTGGTCGTTAACCGGTGACCGGCCGTTATTTGCAGCGCAAAAATCTCACAACTTGTCAACAAGATGTGTTCGCAAGGGACTTGTAGCACACTTGTCAGCAAGTTGTAACAATGTTGTTATTTTACCAAGTTGCTACAAGATTGTCACTGGCAACTTGTGGACAAGTTGTTGAATTGCAGGACGATAACAAGTTGTTGGAACAACTTAACAAGTCTGTTCAACTCAAAACCTTGTAACAAGTTGCCAACAACCGTTGACAATTTGTCAACAAACTGGGAACAAGCAGCTGTGCGAACACATCCTGTTGACAAGTTGTTGAAACAGCATTGCTGATTTAGCATGAGGTTACACAAATACCTGTAGCATTTGTCTCAATGTCGTAAATACTGGTGACCAGCCTTTCTTTTCATCAGCAGCTGTTGCTAAATTAAACGCAATATATGAAGCCAAGATAAGAATACTAGAACAATTCTCAAGTACATATGTACAAAGCAAACGGATCACAGAAATTTAAAAATGGTTCAGGCCGTTCTGTGCATGCATTATTGCATAGAGTCTCTATAACAAAGATACATATACATGTATAAACAATTTAACTAAATTGTTTATACATGTATACATCTCCGTTCTACTGTATGTTCTTGCAAAGTCTGATCGTACTACCTTAATAATTCATTTTACTCAGGAAGCAAAAAAATATAAATGCAGTAGTTGTCACCATTTCATTTATAAAGTTCATTATTTAAGACATACTGTATCAAGTTAAGCTCTGTGAACAGACTGTGCCGTATTTTTAACTAATTAAAAAAGATCATGATAACTATAGTATAATACATACATTCTGACTTGTTATCCGTATTCACAGCCAAAACTGCTTCATCTGTTTGTTGTGCTTCGTAATCAGTAAGGAGTTCCTCCTACAGTGGATACAAACCACTTAACACACTATTCGTTGTTGGTAAATCATCTGTTAACTTGATTCACTGATTTTTTATTTTAATTCACAATTTATGCGGGTATATTTTACCGATATGTGACTTGATCGATTTCGTGATTGCCTACTTGAAAGATATAACTGACTGATTCATTAATTCATTAACTGATTAATCGATAGACTATAGCATCGATGCATTTGATGCAGGGTTCGTACAGGTCAAGAAGAGTTAAATTCAAGAACTTGTATCAGGAAATTCAAAGAGTACCATTACAGAAGGCGTAAGAAGGCATTATAAATCAGTGAAAAGTGACGTTAAACTGTTCAAACGGGGACTTAATGAATATTGAACAGCTTTGGCCTTTAATTAATTTGTAAGACATGAACAAAATCAATTTACAGAATGTCCAATTTTTTATTTGTTCAATTTCAGATTGTATCCAAATACTAAAGCGAGAAGAATTTAAGCACCTTTAAGTAAACTCAAGGACTTTCACGACCTTGAATTTTTGTTCTCAAATTCAAGGGCTTTCATGGATTTTCAAGTTTTGTATGAACCCTCAACTCTGTTGATTGTTAAATTCATTAATTGCACTTGATTACACTTGATTAATTAATTAATTAACTGGTTAATCGATTCATTCATTCATTGATCATTTGGTTGGATTATGGATGGATGGATTAATTAATTAACTCATTCATTGGTAGGTTGATTGACTGAATATTTGATTGATTAATTTATTGATTAATCAACTGATTCATCAATTTATTCATTCATTGACTAAGTGATTTATTGATTATTGATAACAAAGAAAGTCATTTACCCTGGGAGGACCTTCTAGAACTTTTTCAGTCACCCTATGAGCACCAGCTTTGAGTATCCAGGAAAAATACAAATGGAGATAGTGGAAAAGATGCTAAAGGGAAAAAAGACAAAGTAAGTTAAAAACCTGATGAGACATTTTAGACTTTTTGTCGCTCGCAGTCCGTGCTTTATTAAGTCAGATATAAAACACTCGAGCTGCGCTCTCGTCTTGATTCTTTCCACATTATGACGTCATACTGTGTATCTACTGTATCACTGAACAATTAAACAACGGCAAAATCTTATCTATTTGTTAATTCACAAATTTGGATCAGTTATCTATAAACGTTTTTCAGCAAACCACGTGGTAGTGATGATAATTTGCATACCAAAAATTGTTAAATATCTCAAGATAATTTGGCAAAGTATGTTATGTATAGTCCACTGTAATTTTCTTTACAATGTAATCATAAAAAAAATGGTGTGAAGTTTCGACGCATAAGCACTTTTAATTGGACACCGCTCTTTTTATAAAAATAATTTTACCTTGTCTTTGGTAAGATCTTGAATCGCGCGAAATGACGCTTTGTGCTGTCGACGCAAAACGTCTGTAACAGAAATAATCAGGCATGTTTAGCGGTTAATGCACCAATTCGTTAAGCAAAATACTCTAAGGCAATTAAGAGACCAACTATGACACACACAATGTTGTGGGAGAAGGGTTGTTGAGGAGAAATGCTCCGATTATACTTTAAACTGTGGCCAAAGTGTCGCCCCACAGACTCACTACAGTATTACAGCAATATGATTATGATATAATTATACAGTGTATGTCCTCAGGGGGTCGTGGTTCCCACATGTTGGACTTTACCCAAGGGAGTAGCTCCCCAAGATTGGCATCCTAAATGTCCAAGGGGTAGTAGCTCCCCGTGATGGTCATTGTTTACTTTAACATCCAAGGGGTAGTGGATCCCCGTGATGGTCATTGTTTACTTTACAATACATTGTGTTATTATTAATACATTGATTTGGGTGAGTCTGTGTGGTTGAGGGTGACCTTTGGGAGAACTCCATCCCCCAAAACCGAATACTTTTATTTTTACAACCAGACTTGCAAAGTCGAACGCTTGTTTCATTAACTTAAGTTTATAATGCTATATGGGCATGTATAAACTTACTGCCATACGTAGCCGAAGAAGCATAAGGAAAATTATGTTATAATATATCATAGTACCTGAGCCCGTAAATCTACTTCTATTAACTCGGCCTGATCTTTCAAAGCGAGCAGCTTGTTCTGAATTGAAAACCTCGACGGCCTGAAAAGTTAATGCAGGACACATAAGCCATGACGATTATTAGGAACAAGAGTCATTTCATTAAGCTTGGTCAATGAATTTGGCTAAGCGATTTTCTCTTCCACATATACGAGATTGAGTACAATGTATAGTATTCATTCGTTTATGCACCGTCCCCAATTAAGTCCCATGCACCCTCCATCATACGTCGCATACATGTCGTACTTATTCAAGAGAATAGCTCGCCAACAATACATTTCAACATTTAATTAGCGTCTGAAATTTTTTCTCTTGTATAACAGTTTTCTGAAGTTCAAGGGGAGTATGTTTCAATGCTCTCTCACATAACAATGAAAATGCGCATTTCCGTTACAAAAAGCAGACATTATTTCCTGCAATTTTCGTTTTCAAATATAATCATTGTTAAATCAAAGCTCCACATCTCTAGCACTTAAAATCTTATACAATTACTTTATGGTTTCCGTGTTTGGAT